CTCGCTAGCAGCCAGCCGTGTGGCAAACGTGGTACGAAAGATCATGATGAGGAAGGACGGAGGGACAGGATGAGGAAGCCTCGGAGGGCTTTCTGCGCGCCTCCTCTCAAACATCTATCCGCTGATCCCCTACATGGTGTCCACCTCCTGCTCCTCCTCCTCCCCACCCTCTCCTCCCTCTCCGCCTCCTCCTACTTGTTCGTCTGCGCCTCCGCACCTTCCTCCTTCTCCACCTGCATCGATGGATGGAGAGAGGGAGGGAGGGAGGGAGGGAGGGAGGGAGGATGACAGAGGGGGGGATGCAGGGAGGGTGGAAGAGGATGCCAACATCCCAGGCGCGGTGGCGGGATGGGCCGAAGGCTACTGCATGTCCCCCTCATTTCGCCGACATTCGGCAAGCTTCCAACTTCGGCTCGCTAGCAGCCAGCCGTGTGGCAAACGTGGTACGAAAAGCCATGATGAGGAAGGACGGAGGGACAGGATGAGGAAGCCTCGGAGGGCTTTCTGCGCGCCTCCTCTCAAGAATCTATCCGCTGATCCCCTACATGGTGTCCACCGATGAAGAGATTCTGCCGCGACTGGACTCTGGTTGGGGCGTTCGCGGTGGGAGATTAGCTGGAGTGTTTCATGTCAATCGCTCTCAAGGGATTTAGCCTCAGCATTCGCTTATCTCCAGCTTCAGTGTTCGATGTCGATTCAGCCTGGGCTTGGCATTAAAAAACTACTTCACTGTTCTCTCTCGCACTGCTTATCGTATCATTCGTCTCCGAACAGCTTCAACCTGTCGCTGGAGATGCATAATTGACACGCACACCGTGCCCAAGCGACGCTACGCACAACTTGGTACCCCGAGACGCCGCGGGGGGCCGCGCGGGACAGCACAGCGCACACCCGCTTCGGCTTTCGTGCTCCTCCCACCTCCAGCGTCATCTGGCCTCCCCCTGCTAGCTGCAGATCCACGCGTGCAGCTCTGCTAGGGGGACGAACGATGACATTAACATAAAAACTCGGAGGTCTGCGCAGACTTCTTGGATCCGCGCTGGACCACCCTGGCGGCGCCTCTGGCGCGCTCCGCGCGCCATGGAGGCGGGTCCGAGAAACTCGCGCGGACCTCCGAGTTTTCATGTATATGTCATTATTCGTTCCCCGATCTATAGCTCCAGCTTCAGACTCCGCTTCACCGCCACGGCGCACCGCGGCCGGGGGCAGCTGCGGCGCACCTCCTCCTCCTCCTCCTCCTCCTCCTCCTCCGCTCCTCCCTCCTCCTCCTCCTCCTCCTCCTCCTCCGCCAATCGAAGGCCACGCCAGCCAGAGGTGGATCGGGGAGCAGCACAGGAGGAGTGCATAACTTCGAGCCGCCGGCGCGCCCCGCCCCCGCTCCCAAATTCCACGGGGCTTCGCACGCACGCCACGCGCGGCACGAGACCAGAGGCGCGATTCCAGGAGGAGGGGGGGAAATATAGAGGAGGAGGAGGAGGAGGAGGAGGAGGAGGAGGAGGAGGAGAAGGAGGAGGAGGAAGAGGAGGAGGAGGAGGAGGAGGAGGAGGAGTGAGGAACATATAGAAGAGGAGGAGGGGGATGAGGAGGAAGGGGTAGTTCCTCACAAGCAGCACTCGGTTCCCTGACCCCAGGTTGTCTCCTACGCGAGACAGGCAAGGCAGACTTTTGATCATTGGCACCCTGGCTAGAAGAAGCAAAAACGCCACAAATATAAACTGTTGGCGCTCCGCGCGGATTTCTTGAATCTGCGCTGGACCCCCCTCCCTGGAGCGCGGAGCGCGCCAGGGGCGGCGCCGCCGGGGGGGGGAGGGAGGCAGCGCGGATCCAAGAAATTCGTGCGAAGCGCCAAAAGTCTATGTTTGTGATGTTTTTCTTCTTCGACTCGCGCCTGTGTGCCTCGCCCCACCGACATCGCAAGACTTTGCGCATGCCCTCCCTGTCTTTCTCTTGGCCCCTGCGCGGACTTCCGATCCGATCCGATGCTCCCTTCCCTGGACATCATCCAACGAGACTCGCTCCCACCATATTGTTGCACAATCGGCGACCCAGTGTGCCCGGGTGGGGCTTCACCAGCCGTCAGCCTCAAATGCCTCAAGCTCTGGCAGCACTGACATATCCGTGTGATCGAGCGTAGTCGAGGAGAGCTGGACACGACCGCATGCCTTGCATGCTCGTGCGACCCGTTTTGCCGCACCCCCCGAGCCTGAACTTTAGACCGTCAAGCCCCAGCAACCCCTTTGAACTTCCACTCTCCCCCGTCCACCCACATGTCCCTCGCGTGCGGAAGGGCCCCCTCCCCACGCCTCTGTCCTCTGTCGTGATTTCAACCCGTGGGCCCCGTAAAACTTTCGACCCCTTCCCCAAGATCTGATACGCGCTCCTGATCCTTTCCAAATGGCCCCGGGGCTCAATAGCGACTCTCTGAGTCCGAACCCGAGGAAACTGTCTCCAGGAAAGTGCTGACTGTGGCATCTCCAAAATGCCCTTTTCCTATCAATATGTCAATGTGCAGAAGCGCAAACGGAAAGCACCTGCGAGCAAAGACACGCTGTGCTCTACGCAATGTGTGCTTCACGAGCTTTGATGTGCAGTGTTAAGGTTTAGAGCATGCACGCTATACGGCTTGTAGCATATGCAAATTGGGACATGCAATCCGGGTTGCTCAATATAAGCTGGCCAATATCTGCTGCAAAGTGTGAGCTAATCAATCCAAGACGTGTACCATCGACAACAACTGGACTGGACTGGAGCTGGGCAGGAGCTCGGTCTGAGCTGGAACTGGAGCTAAGTTGGAACTGGAGATGGAGCTGGGCAGTAGCTGAACCTGGGCTGGAATCGAGATGGGCAGGAGCTCGGCTGGAGCTGGAGCTGGGACGTGGAATTGGAACTACGGCTCGAGCTGGGCCTGGGGCTGGAGAGAAGCTGGAGCTGGATCTGCGGCTAGAGCTGGGGCTGGATGAGCTGGGAAGGAGCCCAGCGCGAGCTGAGGCTGAAGCTAAATTGGACCTGGAAGCGAAGGTGGAGCCGGAGCTGGGCTGGAGCGAAGCTGGAGCTGGAGCTTGAATGAGGCTGGAGGTGGGGCTGGAGCCGGAGATGGGGCTGGAGCTGGGCTGGGGCTGGAGCTGGGGTTGCTGGAGCCGGGGCAGGAGCATGCCGGAGCTAGGGCTTGGCTGGAGTTGGGGCTGGAGTTGAGCTGGAGCTGGGGCTGGAGATGATGGGGTTGGAACTGAGCTGGAGGCGGGGGTGGAGGTGGAGCTGGGGTTCGAGCTAGGGTGGAACTGGAAGGCTGGCTCTGGACGCTCAAGATCAGGCCCAAGAGTGAAGCTCCGGCAACACGGAGAGCCGGCCGGCTGTAAAGGTCGGCTGCAAATGATCAAAACCAGCCCTAGGAATGGCGCTGACAACACGAAGATCCGGCCAACTATCGAAGAGTCGGCCGGCTGCACTGGTGGCACCCAGATGATCAAAACCAAGCCTGGGCGAAGATCCCACCACTTCCTATCTCTGGATGATCGAGTCGGCCTCGGGAGCAAAGATCTGACAGCACCAAGAGTCTGGCCCTACCCACCGTCCCGGCCCAACCCTTCAGCAAACAGTAAGGGTCCTCTGGGACAAGCCTGGTCAGGGAAAGCGCCAGGAAGGCAAGGACAATAGCCCCTAGCAAAGCACCCGAAAAGGTGGAGAGGCGGGTCGAGGAGTAGGAGATCGGCCAACGAAAACGTGCATCCCTACGCATTTCGATGGAATCCTAGGAAATGCTCGGTCATGTGCACCGCAGCTCATTTTTAAGGGAACGAAGAATGACATAAACCTAAACACTCAGAGGTCCGCGCGGATTTCTTGGACTGGCGCTGGACCCCCTCCCAGGCGCGCGGAGCGCGCCAGGGGCGGCGCTGGAGGCGCCTCCAAGGCGGTCCAGCGCCGGTCAGAGAAATCCGCGCGGACCTCTGAATTTTTAGGTTTATGGCATTCTTCGCTTCCCTCAAACATGCAGCCGACACTGATGAGCATCGTTTAACCGATCCCCATCCCCAGCGGCGTGGCCTGGGCCCCACTGGCCAATTTAACCCCCTAGATGGGGATATAGCCCGTTCCCTTCGGGTTTCGAGGGGTGTACCCCCAACTGGGGTGGTAACCTGGTGGGGGTTTCGAAGGGGACGGGGATGGGGATGGGGGTCGTTTAATAGGGGGCAAACAAATCTACCTCGCTTTTGACCACCCTCGCTTCCAAGAGATACCAAACGATGCCGAATTACGGCCTGTACTGGTCAGGCCGCTTGACGAGGAGGCGCGTGGTATGACTTGGTTTTGCCTGGAAGCGAAAGCGGGGTAGGTAATTCACGCTCTGATTTAAACGATACTGAACTGATGCGAGAGCACGGTTGCTGAATTGATGATGGGGGCGTCTCAAGCGACACGGCTGCCGGACCAGGCGGTCTCGGTGCCTCCCCATGTCCCCCCTCCCCCTGGCGGGACTCTTCTGCGGGCCTCTTCTGTCGCTGTCACAAACCCTCCAGGGAAGCGCCATTCGGGCAAAACGCCACCAGGACAAGATCGCCAGGTCTACAAGGGCGCCTAGCTTCGCGCTTCGCGAAGCGCGAACAACTTCGCGCTCTCGCGCCGCCCCCTGGGGGAGAAGAGGAGGATGAGGAGGAATCGGGGCCGAAGCGCGAAGCGCGAAGGACTTCGCGCCCTCGAGGGCGCCCTTGGGGTCCTGGCAGGCTCGGGGCGACAACCTCGCGGAGGCCGTCCTAGCCGCGCGGCGCTCCCACTTGAGGGGCAACGATAGGGGGGGACTGGCATAGGGGGGGATGCATCGACCTGGAATCGGCGATACATCGCCAATAGATTGGCGATAGGCCTCCGATCGTGAATCCGCACCTTCCTGGGCAGGTTGGGGCTATCGAGCCCCTATCAGCGATCAATGGGCGATTGGGGGTCGATGCATCCCCCCCATATCTATCCCCCCTATCGTTGCCCCTGGCCACTAGGGCAAGGGCTCTCGGAGGCCGCGCGGCGCTTCTCGTCGCACTGCCGTGCGGGCTTGCTGGCGGCACTCCCGCTCGCTTGCGGCGC